TTAATTACTCGCCCTCATACATACATATTAAGATAGTTTTGATGATAGTTTTGATGATAGTTTTACTGCGTTCAAGACCCAGAAAGATAGTAACGACATCGTTAAAATAAATTCATGTGACATCAGTGGTTCAACCGTAATTTTATGAAACTACGAGAATATGAGAATGCTTGTAAACAAGGTGCAGTGCATCTGGGTTCTACGTCAGAACGGCGCCTCCTGCGTCAACAATACCACACGCATGTGTCGTGGTACTCCCGTGATTGTGTGTCAAAGACTGACACGGAAGTGAAGAAATTGTTGAATAAAGTCGTTTTTTTTTTTCTTTATGCACAAAGCTTTATTTACGTAGCTTCATAAAATTATGGTTGAACCACTGATGTCACATGGACTATTTTAACAATGTCCTTACTACCTTTCTAGGTCTTGAACGTGTCAGTTGCGTTGCTGTCTATGCAGGGTCAGAAAGCTCTCGGATTTCATAAAAAATATCTTAATTTGTGTTCCGGAGATGAACGAACGGGTTTAGAACGATATGAGGGTGAGTAATCAAAGACAGAATTTTCATTTTTGGGTGAACTATTACTTTAAGGCAGTGATAACATGAATCTGCTGGTATTAAACTGGTAAACTGGCAAACTGTGCTGTTTTTGGTGGCTGTGTGTAAGCTGCAGGGTGCACTTCACTTAAGGGTGTTGTAGGGTGTAAAGTGTAGGGTGGATGAGGTGGAGGACTGGACACTGCCATATTAGGCACTGCTGATGTCTGCATTGCAATACTCCCTCTCTCTCTCCTTCTCTCTGTCTCTGCAGTAACACTCAGTATCTTTTTTGTGTTCAATTTAGGTGCTTTTACCTCTCCGAGAACACAGAGCTCAGTCTAGACCATCTGATTTAACACAGACACAACACGCACATCAAGACACGAACACACACATCCACAATTTTCGTAGTTGCAGACTCACCCTGTGTACAGTAAGCTCCAAAATGAAAACACATCACCACATGCCATCAGATTTGTCTTTTATGTTTGGCAGGGTTATTCGGAAAAGACGAGCACATGTGACATGAGGTTTAGAAAAAATAACGTGAGCTTCATTTGTCTCACAGTCTGCAAAACTCATAGATACACCCAGTGTGTCCAAAAATACAGTTTAGTCTGCTGTCTCTGTACGAGTGCACACTTATATGTGCACATGGGTGGGTGTGTCTGTTGGCATGGCGATTAGCACTGCGGCAGTGTGTCGAGGGGTGTGTGACTCAGTTGGAGAGGAGAGGTCTGCACTGCTGTGAAACTGCATTGATGAAATTCACTTTAATCAGCATATTTGGGAGAAAAGTGTCGACTGCACATACGTTCTCACTCAGCAGGTGAAACAGAAGGTATGGTTTAAACTGTATGTATACAATGGAGAAACATGTGATTGTCTGTGCAAAGGATTCACATGATCAGTGTCATAAATAAAATAAAACCTAGAAATAGTGCAGAATATTAAATATTTTTTCTTCATTTTACTTCATGCTTTGTATTTTAAAAACTTTTTTTTATTTCCAGGGTTAAACATGAAAAATTCCCAGATTTTCAAAGTGGACCCCCCAAAAATTTGGACAGTAACTATTCAAAAGCATTTGCATTATATAACAAAATTATTAAAGCAAGTGGGAATTATTTTAAAGAAATACAGCACCAGCAAACTTTTCAATTAAAACGTTTCATAAAGTTTTATTCAGTTTGAAATATGAAACAATAAATACACTGTATATTGCTCAAAATTAAGATAAAAAGCACTTGAGCACTTTCTGGTTGGCAACCTCTACTTGGAATATTTTTTATTGTTAAACTATACAGTGGTTACTCTGCTAGGACATCTGTGTAATTTTGAGGAGAACTGACTTCATAGATCCATAAAAAAAATTATCAGAGCAGTTAACAATAACTGAAGAAGTTGTTCAGATAAGTTCATTCTAAGAAAAACTCTAGCATCATATGTTTGCTAATGCCTCTTTGTTATTATGTGTAAAAAGTGTGTCCAAAATGACCAAATACCTTTTGAGGCCACTATATAAGGTATATCTAATAAACATGTGTCCAATAAGTAATTCTGTTATTCTGTTTTATCCTCTTTCCCCATGCAGTTTGATCAGAATACCTCAGACGACTGTTGCAATTCGCCCTAATTTCAGTTTATTCACCAATCGCAGCGTCCAGTCTTGAAATGGGTTACAAATTACATTTGTAATGATTTTATTCTATAAATGCTATGAAACCTATCTGTTCTAAATAATATCTCATGAAACTGCTGAATATGTCAGAATGTGTGTTTACATATGTGAGCATGTGACACAGTTGTTGTGATGTTATTGTACTGTAAGTGAGGCTGTAAGTCAAGAGCAGGTGAACAGGATGAAACCTTCTTATACAGTAGTTCCTAGAAGTACTCTGTTTTTCATTCTTTCTCGTGCTCTTCACCTTCTTTGGCCGGCAGCGTTCCACCCTTCAGTCACGCTGTTAGAAGGATGGAGGACAAACACAACAGGTCTTTATGCAAAGAGAGAAAGAGAGAAGAAAAGCATGTTTGCATAGTGAAGCATGAACACAGTGTGTCTTTCAGTGAGGGATACCTGAGCCCTCAGAAGCAGTTCCAGACTTGCTGCTCTCAGACTTTGATGATATGAAAGCACTTCCTGTTGATGCACACTGTACCCAGGCCATCTCTCTGGACCTCTGCTTTACATTTGGACCATTTAGCTATTAATTAGTCAGTGGACATACATTCAGCAACATAAGTAAAACTATAGCATAAAATGGTTCAAATTTTTTTTTTAATAATCACTTTCAAGAGTAAACCTGATTGCTTAAAAACAGCTGAAACTATATAGACATGTGAAAGTCTCTTATAAGAGATGAATGAATTGAGCGTTTGAATCATATGAAGCATTGTTAAGTGCTTATTCATAGAAAGTTTCATTTATTTGTCCTCTGTGGTTTGATAAACAGCCTGCAATATATAGAAAAACTTATCAGATAGATTCAGTCTGACAGGACCTTACAATCCTCTGCTATCTCTTACATAAAAACATCACTGTTTGTGGTAAAATATGGGCTCTGGGTGTTTGTACATGTATTTACAATAGAAAATGAACAAATGTGTGTAAATATATGCATGTAATCCCTAAAACAGAAGTCCATGCATTGTACCAAGCCTTTAAAGTCCGCGTGAACCGGAAGTTGCTGCCGACTTTATTTCAGTGTAGTGACGTATTTCCATCTGAAATGGAATATTGAATAGAGGGCATGAGGGCATCTTCCTCTCTGTCTCTCACTTATATCAAACTAACGGTTGGAGGGGTGTGTTTAAAAAGGATATTCTGCCCAAGCCGTCAAACTGACGTCATCAGAGAAGGAATGCCATTCCAGAGCAGAAGCAAATGATCAGATTTTGATTAAAGATTACCAAGGCAAGCTTTTTTTTTCAGCGGATTAACTTGCACGGATTAATTGTTCACATCAAGACTAGCAATGTGCGCTAATAAAGTAAATAAAGTCAATTTTGATTTCATGCCGACTTTAAAGCTTTTTATGTCTGTATATCTAAAGAATCTCAATCTCTCTCTCTCTCTCTCTCTTTCTCTCTCTCTCTCTCTCTCTCTCTCTCTCTTTCACATACATAGAAAATCCACAGCACTTAAAGTGATTCCCTCAACTTGTTGGGAACTGAAAAATTTCAATGCTTGGTTGTAATGAATAAATTATAAAAATAAACAAATAAATAAAGAAGTAATCCAGTAAATTCAATTCAATTCAATTCAAGTTTATTTGTACACTCTTAAAAATAAAGGTGCTTCAAAAGGTTCTTCAAGCGATGCCATAGAAGAACCATTTTTGGTTCCACAAAGAACCATTCAGTCAAAGGTTTTTTACAGAACCATCTCTTTCTTGCATTTTTATAATCTGAAGAACCTTCTTTCGCCACAAATAACCTTTTGTGAAACAGAAAGGTTCTTCAGATGTTAAAGGTTCTTTATGGAACCATTTAGACAAAAAGGTTCTTCTATGGCATCGTGAAGCACCTTTATTTTTAAGAGTGTACAGCGCTTTTCACGATACAAATCATTGCAAAGCAACTTTACAGCAAATTAAGTTTCTACAATATTTAGTGGTAGCTTATCAGTGGTGACTGTCAGTTAATGTACATATGGCAGAAATGTACGGAAAAATCAATTAAAGACGTAATCAAACAGACGATGAACACTAAATGAAAACATAAATCCAGCTGTTGAAATCTGATTAATTAATCTTGATTGTATCCGGTATGGGGATGAGTATCAACAGATACACATATTTGTTTTCGTATATCACTAAGAGCATGTCACTTAAAATATTTGTGATAATTTTATTGTGGAGCTATGAGAACAACACCTGAATCATTTAGAACCAGAATGTCAACACATACTCAATGTCTGCATGGCTTTCATGTGTGTGACTACTTAAGTGTGTGGCAGAACTCAGTTGGACATATAGAATGTTTGGGTGGAATCTATAGAAAGATTTTTGGACACTTGCGTTAAATGCTTGGTAAGCTTCTTGGATTCCCTTACGGAACAAAAATATATGGTAATATACTGCAAAATATATGCAATATATTATATAATACATTTCCATATTTTGGAAACTAGTGCTTATATTTTTCAATGTACAGCAATATATGCATTGACAATATATAGCTATATATTGATACATACAAATATATTTAGAAATGAAGACAAAAATAAACATTCATTGTTTGATCCTTTATTGAGTATGTATTGCACATAGATGTACATACACACATTTATGCAATGAGTTACAGCAGATTTATAGTTCCCAGCATGCTTTGCTTCTGACTGTTAAAGGAGTGTAAAAATGTTAAAATTAAGTGTTATTTCATGTGTTTTTGCTCAATATTAATATATGGGGATATCTGTTAGTGTTTAATGTTGTATTATTTTGAAATGTATAAGGGTTTCTGGTGTGTGTAACTTATAAGTTTGTGGGGTTGCCATTGTGCAGAAGAGTAGAGTGTGTGGTCAGGAAGACGATTGGCCAAACACTGTTAAATTATATGTTATTTTATTTAAAAAGTAATGGTAGTGCACTGTTCAGTACAGTGATAGTCTGTTCACTAAGTGCTTTATTATGAGCAGGTGTGCTTATGCTATTGTAAGCTAGCTATATTTTAAAATATGAAACATGTACAGTGGTGTGAAAAAGTGTTGGCCCCCTTCCTGATTTCTTATTTTTTTGCATGTTTGTCACACTTTAATGTTTCAGATCATCAAACAAATTTAAATATTACACAAAGATAATGCAAGTAAATACAAAATGCAGTTTTTAAATTACTTGCATTATCTTTGTGTAATATTAAAATTTGTTTGATGATCTGAATCTTTTAAGTGTGACAAATATGTAAAAAATTACAAAAACAGGAAGGGGGCCAACACTTTTTCACACCACTGTATATCATAAATGATTGTTAAATATAAGAAATATATATTTCCATATATGTGTGTGTATATACTGCATGAATGTTCAATATATTTTTACACATGCAGTACCATATCTTATCACATCTATATATTATAAAGTGTATTACTGAATATAAAATGACATATATTGTGATATATAAGTAAATATATTGTCACATATTTTTCAATATATGAAAAGCGGCAATTCCTTATGTATTATTCAATATATTGTGTAATATATTTACACAATATATTATTCTGTATAATTTCTAATATACCATGATGTCGTTTAATATATCAATCATTCATATATTAGGAAATATATTTTATTTGTGTAAGGGTTTACCCAGGATCAATCAGACTGAGAAAAATTTAAATGCTTGTCATCTGTTTGTATTCATGAGAAGTGCTTTAAATTTGTATATTGAATTAATTTTTATCATGCAAACAGTCTGTGTCGTATGGGCAAAATATGAGCACATTTTTCTGAAGTTGATTTATACAGATTGTAGTCTTAGCTAAATCTTTTCCTTGGTATTTAGGGATGATGAAAAGCCTAGGCTTGCTGATCTTCATGGATTAAACTGTTATTGGTATGTTTTAGTGGCTTAAAGATTATATGGTTAAGTAAAATGTCAGTTTTATAATTTTAATCAGAAAGTTACACTTTCTTTAAAGAAGATATTTTAGAGAAGAGATTGCCAGACACAACCTACAACTTATTCCTGCATAAACTTTCTATCAAAATACACTTAAAATAGTCAGCATATATTTTTTAAACTATTTATTTAAAAAAAATAAATTGTAGCACCTTTTGCAATCTTGACCCAGGTATCAACTGAGGCTTTGCACAATGTTTTCATATACAATATGTGACCCTGGACCACAAAACCAGTCGTAAGGGTCAATTTTTCGAAATTGAGATTTATACATCATCTGAAAGCTGAATAAATAAGCTTTCCATTGATGAATGGTTTGTTAGGATAGGATATTTGGAATATTTGGCCGAGATACAGCTATTTGAAAATCTGGAATCTGAGGGCGCAAACAAATCAAAATATTGAGAAAATCGCCTTTAAAGTTGTCCAAATGAAGTTCTTAGCAATGCATATTACTAATAAAAAATTAAGTTTTAATATATTTACGGTAGGAAGTGTACAAAATATCTTCATGGAACATGATCTTTACTTAATGTTCTAATGATTTTTGGCATAAAATAAAAATCTATAATTTTGACCCATACAATGTATTTTTGGCTATTGCTACAAATATACCCCAGCGACTTAAGACTTGGTTTTGTGGTCCAGGGTCACATATGGTTTTGTTGAAACTTAAATTGAGAAAGTTTTAATCTTAAATTGCACTGGGTCAAAATGACTCAAATACAAAAGGTGTATGTTGATTTTTAATGGATTAGGAGGAGGATTAAAAAAGAGGGTATAGTTAAATTACAAGCAAACATATGCTTAAATAATCTCTTTTAAGTTTACTTGAGATTAAAGTTGATTTCAGGGGGTTTCTAAGTGTGTTATTTGCTATTTGCACATTTTTTTTTTTTAAATATAGGGATTAAGAGAATTTTATTAATCTGGAATTTTAAGATTTAGTTTGGGGCTGGATTTAACTAAGTTTAAATGCTGATGACTTAAAGTACTCCAAAGCGACCCTGTTTCCCCCTTCAATTTTAGGGCTCTTTAAAGGGTCAATGAATCACTGAACTACTTTTTTTTGTGGATTTTTTTAACATAGTTGTTTGTGTTGCACATCATAGAAGATTATGCGAGTATCCCTTACTTTTTATTGGATGAGAACACTGCTTAATACTGTACATACTGTCATTTCAATTTCAATAGCACTCTCTAGAGGTGAGAGACTGACTAAGCAGACAGAAAAAGGCCATGTTTGGTTTAACACTAGTTGAAGAAGTGGCACCAGATCGTCATATTGTTTATGACCTTCTTGGTATGTAGTGCATGTTAAACCAGTAAGATTTATTTTGATGAATAATGCACAAAAGATCTGGATAGATTGCCTCTACATAACATTGCACCAAATCTTTGGAAAACAGCTATTTGTGTCCATTGTAAAAGAACTGATACTTGCAATTTAGGCACATTTGTGTTGGGGATTAATAGGAAGAAAGATATGCTTATGTTTTGTGCATTCTCTTTTTCCTCTTGTCATTTTAGAGTTCTCACCTGGCGATGATTGACACTTTAATGATGTCGTACACAGTTGAAATGGTCAGTGTGGAGAGAGTGCTGACCTGCATACAGAAATTTACTCCGTTTCTTCCTGAGGAGGACTTCCCTTATGACGCTGAAGAGGCAATAACCACTTGGATCAGTAAGGTGAGAATCCCATAGCATTCATGATAGAAACTATTGGTTGACCTATGGGTTTTCTCTTAAAACATATTCATAAAGCTGCTGAGACAAACTTTTACTAAGGAATAGAGAGAAGTCTTAAGCTAAGAGTAAGGGCAGGGTTGACCTCGTTGCTATGGATGATGTCAGCATGCTTACTAACTATGCACACAGTGACCGACAGATAGGGAACAACACATTTCACATTGAAGCCCTGTATCGGAGCTTGATTCGTTTTGCCAAAAGCACGTGATCTATGACGTCTGAAGCTTCATTTGCCTGAAAACCACGTGACTGCTACAGTATCTGGTTCAAACGAAGCGAACCTCAGCGTCCTTTACATTATATTACATTATAATGTGTTAGCATTGCTTTTTTAAATTGTAATTTATACATTAAGCTCAAATGAACTTTGCCCATTAAATAACAGTCTAAGGACTGAGGCAGAGTTAAAAATAGACAGATCAGATCACAGATTTAATTTATGAATTTATGTTTCATTTATTTAACTTATTTTAGTGGCAGTACACCTACACAAATGAATGACTTTGACAGTGACCATTATTTATATACAATAAAATAAAGAATCATTTGTAGAACCAGATGTGAAACCAGCATCTGTAATGGAACACAGCACTTTGGAAGGTGTTATTTATTTTTATGAGCACTAGATTGATGAAAAGCTTTGAGTAATGAACCTTTTCCTGATACAATTGAGTTGAAAGCTTGGCTGGTTCAGAACGCTTCACTTCGCCATCACTACTGTCAACGGTCTATAAACATGGTAACACTCGTCACAACATAACATTTTTTGATACAAGCTTCGGTGTTGAACGTAACATCACTAGCTGACAGAAACAATGCATGCCAGTTGAAAATAGTGTTAATATTGGCTTAATTTATTTAAAGAGTGCCCAATGGGCTGATGCTGGCTGAACAAAAGATTTTAAAAAAGATCAGTAATGTATGTAAAATAATAACCAGGTGCTAATGACATAAAGTTTGCTTTTAATCTTGCTAGAATGTCACTGTTTTTATCCCATTTCCATTTCTTGGTACATCAATATCAAATATCAGCAACTATACTGCAACCTATCATGAAAAAATAAGTGATTAACTAGACAAGCTGACAAATACTATTTCTATAAGACTTTGTTTTTCTTATGCATAAAATATGCCAAATGCAAACAACAGGTTGATAAAAGTTAAATCTATGTACATCTCATATCTTTGCATCTCATAAATATGTAAAAAAATAGGGCTGTCAGTTTAACGCGTTAACTTAATTAATTAGTTATGCAAAAATAACGGACTGGCCCCACCCCCAGACCTGTATGTCAACTTATATTTTATACAGTTGACTGCTGACAAATATGATGCAGGACAACAACTCCATAAATGCAGTTATGCCCTAAAATTCAAGCTATTGGTGCAAAAAATGCCCCTGCATGAGTGTTTTTCTCATATTTATATCATACGATATACGAGCAGCGAGAGCAGTATTACACGAATGCTGTTTTTGTGCAATTAGATTAATTATTCGACACATCATGTAATTAATTAGATTAAAAAAATTAATCGACTGACAGCCCTAGTAAAAAAATTATCTAACTGATATAGCATAATATAGATGATATCATTTGAGAATCGGCTTCTAGATTTAGGTTCACTTCAAAGAAATTGGATTATAAAAGATTTAGCAAAAGTGTCATCCTCACAGATATTCATATTATGTGCAATTCTTCTGTTTCACACTCAGGTTAGGATGATTATCCTCTCTGTCAGTAAATCATGGACAGCTGATCATGTATCGACCCTCATGTCTGCATTCTGAATGTCATAGGCGAGTGGACCATCAATAGCAAAGCCAATGTAGAAAGTCACCCTCTCTGTACTGTGACCATTTCTTAGTCTTCCAAGGTATGTGCGGCGCACAGGGATCCTCAGCTTTCCATACTCAGCATAAAGCTCACCAAGCTCCATCATGCCATTAACTCTGAGGAGCTTGTCTTTAATCGCTTGTTCCTTAAAAATATCTGCATTTTGCCACAGAACGTTACGGTCTCTTACTGTACTGAAGTCGCTGTCAAGGTTGGCTTTAGAAACCAGTCTTTCTAATCCATTAGACTTCCCCAGATAGAAGTGAGCAATTGGGTTTCTGACTCTGAAAATGTGTAAGAGTTGCTTTCTGGAGGATTTTTTTAGCATGTCCACATATGTAGCTATTCGGGGGTCAATGCCATTTTTTCCAGGCCACAGCATCACTAGTGCAAGGTAGTACGGCTCTGGATGTGGATGCTGTGTTCCAGCTTCTTGCAAAAGTTCTTTCAAAAGATCAGTGAGTTCTTTTTGGCTTTTTGCAAATGTTGATTTAGGCTTATTCAGCTTTAGAATTATGTGGGCAAGCAGATGGTTTGTTTTGTCCTTGAGAGATTTGGTGACACAGTTCTTGAATATGAAGGAATGTTTTTCAACAATTTGCTCTATAACGTTTTTTCTGAACTCCAGAAACTGAAGAATTCTTGGAAAATTGTTTGCTCTGTTTTCCTCTAGGAACATTCGACATTCCTCAATTTCCATGTTCATGCTGAGTTTTGGTTTAAGTTTTTTCTCATTTAATCTTTCCTCAGATGAAGAACAAAACAGGGAGATGTATTTTTTGAAGTGATCTGAGAGTTTTCCCCTGTTCTTAAACTGCTTTTCTTTGTCAACAATGCCCTTTTCTCTTGTGTAAGTGAAGAAAACTTCAAGGAAGTCAAAGGCTTTGTCTACTTGTGTCTTCAAAGAAACAAGGAATGGTTCATGCTCCATAAGAATATCAACCATTTTTTTGTTGGTATCATTCTGGAATATGGGAATGTTTTTTATAGATATTTTATCTTTGAAAAACTGCTGAATATAATGATCTTTCATGGAATCCTCCTCCTTAAACAGCGGCAGTCCCCTCACAATGTCAAAGACTGTCATAGCAATGTCAATCTCACTCATGTATCCAGATATGTTGTAGGTGTTGGGTTTCCTATGAAGTGTCTCTTCCAGATCAGGAATATCATCTGTCTTTGCCAAGATTTGAGCCCTCTGGAAAGCTTTTATTGCTGCATCAGCTAAATCCAGATACTCTCTCAGGTCATCAGGGGTGGGTTTCTTGTTCTCTTGCTTGTTGCAATCAATTTTATGTTTTAGCTCACTTCTAGAAACCTGCCCAACTGTATCAAGGGTGTATGAATTCTCTTTGATGGTTTTGGCTGCGTGTGCCCAATCCTTTGCTAGAGCAAAGTTTTTTTCATTCAGATATAAATGTCTTGCTAAGGCTTGAGGAATTACAAAGTCCTTATCAAATCGTCTCGATGCTTCTGTAAAGATGTTCTGGATTTTTTTCAGTCCGTCATTCTGTGTATTGATGTCCTCTATTAAAAGTGAAAACAGTGTGTCTTTCTCGTCACCTTCTGCCTTGCGTTGTCGAGTGATTAGCATGTTTTTTACTGACTGTAGGAGGTTATCTTTTCCTATTCCACTTTTGAAAAATAAGTCGGAATGCAGCAAATTTTGGACTATGTCATATCTTGTGACTTTGTGTGTATCTTCCAACTCCTTGACACACTCGGTTGCAATACGTTGATGAACAAAACGGATTGCTTTGTACACTCCACATTCTTCAGCTTCAAACTCAATTAGCAAGCATGACTGAGGTTCCATTTCATCCAAAACTGTTTGCTTCCCCCATAAATTCCTTTTAATGCCCAGAAAGTCTTCACACAGTGACACGGAAATGGCTGAATCAGCCACATAGTAATTCAATAATGCCAGGATTGAGAGAAGTTGTGCTTGTTTTTTTTCAGTGTCAAGATCTTTGAGAATATTACGAGCAACATTTGCAACATACTCTTTACTGAAGTTTGACTTCATGATCATGAAACTGTAGAAATTCTCTGGTTTTTCATGTGTTTCTTGCAGTTCCTTTAGTTTACTCTCGAAAGCATCCATTTCTTCTTTAGACAAAGTTGCTATAATGTACTGACTCTCAATGACACTGTTTGAGAATCTCACTTTTGGGGTTTTTGAACGTAAACAATTTAAAACAACAACAAGTGCACTGGGAGATATTTCGTCAAGAGTTTTCCGTGTACAATGCTGAAGTTCCTCTGTGTTTTCGGTCTCTTCAGAGTCATCTACTAATAAAAGTACTGGTGTTGTCCGTGAAGTCTCATTCTTTCCACACCTTACCAAGTAGGCAACTTGTTGTGCTACGTCATGTTTGGAAGCTGTGTTGTCCTTCAGAACTGCACAACGGAAATCCTTTCTCAGATTCCACATTACATGCATGGCTAATGTGGTGCCCCCGCAACCAGGATGATGAAAAAGATTCACCATGACACATGTGCTTGTTGGATTTTTGGTTTTAGATTCAATTATACGTTTGAGTTGATCATATTTGTCCCGTTTTATGAATAGTTTTGCAGAATTTTTTTCAGAGAAATAGAAATTCCACCATTTCACTTTGTCGCCTTTGTAGAATTCAGCTTCTGTTTTAATTTGAAATTCTTGGAATTCTTGACTATTCTCATCAAAGACATTCTCACACTCATTTTCACAGAGGACCTCAAGAGAAGACATAAGGTCCTCATCCCTCGGTTGGAGAACCACTGAACTTCCCTCAGCAGATGGAAGAAGCCTCTCAGCATGTGGCTTGTTCTGTGCCAGTTTCAGTATTGTCCCATTGATTTCACTGAGCTCCAGGTCATATATACTCCGCTGACTGATGTCATGTTCACATCTGGCTTGAATGAAATCCCTCCAGTTTTGAAAGGAAGCACTGGAAGTGCATATACTTAAGATGTTCTCTGTACCGCCAAGGTTTTTATAAAATGACACAAATGTGTCAAAAATGGGATCATTCATGGCTTCAACAGTGGAGAGCAGGAGGAATATGACTAAAAAATGTCCTCTAGGAAGAATGTATGGGTTGCAGATGAATGAGATCATGTCTTGTATTTGTTGTGCATTGTCTATTAACCATTCACTTGGTCTGAGTGGTTTGTCTTCTGGATTGTCAAGGTCTTCTCTGCCATTACAAAATACCCAGCTTGTTTGTTTGTACAAAGTTAGATTTTTCACAATTGCTGCTGGGTCTCCATGGAGCTGGCTTGGTCTGTGAAGATTTGCAATTCTATCATATGTGTAATTGTGGCAGGACCCATTTTTTACAGAGTCTGGATCAAAGTCCAACACACAGAACAATTTCAGTGTTTTCATGAACTGAAGATGCTGGAGTTGTTCAGGGTGACTTTTGTTTGTTACAATGATGTAGTAATCATAATGACCCAATCTGCTTCCTCCATATGTCAACAGATTCTTCAGCTTTTCCCCCTGGTTTGATGTGCCCTTGCTTTCAGTTTTCTTTTCTACTTCCTTCCTCCTGTTGTCCAGAACATTCACTTGGACATTCATTCGAGTCAGCTCGTCATGCAAGACTTTTGGATTACCAATTTTATAGATATCTCTGGTTGAAGCTCCATCTCTGATGAAAAGTGATTTTCCTTTGCTCTTTTTCCATTGACTGTCCTCATCCAGAGTTTGGATTTGAAACAGCTTACCATGAACTATGCTGTAGGAAGGAACAACATCCACCTCTATGACATATTTGCCAGATAGGGTGCTGTCAGGGCAGAGCACTTCTACAAAGCGTGGTTGTCTGATGCATTGCTTTGCTTCATCTGTGTGTTCGTCAAAGTATGATTTAATACCCTGATTAAAGTGATCAATGATGGTGTCCTTGTCGTCAACACTGACCCCAATAATCTCAGCATGAGTATATTGAGAATCTTTGGAGTCTGCTACACCAAAGTGTATGGTTCCATTTGTGCGGCTGTTCATACACCCAGCAGCAAACCGAAACACCTCTTTATTGAACTTCTTCTTTATTGTATGAATATCATCTGTTCTGCCCATGAACTTATACTCATGAACTGGATCAATCAGATTGTCTGGTCCTGTTTCTGGTGGTAAAGTATAGTTTTGAATGTATCGATGAGAGGCAGCATTGTGATCAAATGGATAGAGACTACATGAGTGTTGCCCAGGCTTTCTTTTGATCTTTTCTTTATCAGTTTTGTCTGCATCGATAACCACTGTTTTAAGGCCAGCTGCCTCTCTTAGTTCACTTTCTTTGGAGGTTGAATGACTGGAAGTTTCTTCAAGCATTTTTTCTTGGGAAGGGGCCAGTTTTAATACTTCTTTTGTCTGGCAATCGGTACTTGTGATCATATCCATTGAATCTTTATTAACGTTTAATTTCTGGCTTTTCTTAGATTTTCCTTTTTTGCTTGATTTTGTTTTCGATTTTTTTGCTGTATATTTAGATATTTGTGTTTGATCTGTTGAAAGGTCTTGGATTTCCTCAGTTGTATCTAACCCATCCTCTTTTTGCTGTGTCTGGGAATGTTCAGGGGATGCAGAGTCTGATCCATAAGGCTGTTTTAACTCCTTTAATCTGTTGCTAATCATAACAGCTGGACCATGCTTAATGCCAAGGTAATGCAGATCACTGGGCTGGTAGCAAACTAGTGCTTCCCCTGATACTTCTTCATCATATAACTTGTCTGCATATTTTTTATCCACTTTCACTACTTCAGTTAACCAGTAATGTACATGCTCTTTTGTCCACTTCTCCACTAGATGTGGAAGTGTTGTTTTTTGACTCATTGTCACCACTGAAATAAAGAAAAACAATTTTTTTTATTAATTAAACAAATTAATAACAATTTAAAAATGTCTGATGTCACAATGCAATTTATGATATTTATCTCATTAATGAAATAATATTTGGTCACACTTTATTTTAAGGTCCAATTCTCACCATTAACAAACCATTAGCTACAATTTTTGCATTAATAAACTCCTAATTTGCTGCTTATTAATAGTTAGTAAGATAGTTGTTAAGTTTAGGTATTGGGCAGGATTAGGGATGTAGAATATGGTCATGCAGAATATGCGCTTTATAAGTACTAATAAACAGCCAATATGTTAATAATAGGCATGCTAATTAGCAACTATTTAATAGTGAGAATTGGTCCCTATACTAAAGTGCAGTGGTAGAAAGAGTACTAAAAATTGTACTTAAGTAAAAGTATTAGGGCTGTCAAAATGACTGAAAAACTAAATTAGAATTTTGTACTTTTTAATTTAATTTCATTAAATTTTTGCATAATTTCAGTTAGGGCAGGGGTAGGCAAGTTCGGTCCTAGAGAGCCGCAGTCCTGCAGAGTTCAGCTCCAGCACTGCGGCTCTCTAGGACCGAACTTGCCTACCCCTGAGTTAGGGTGAAGAAAAGCTTTTGGCTACTCTCCTGAGGCCACAAGAGGGCGCATCGAGCAAAATATTACTAATGCACGTTATTCAAAGCATAAGATAACATGACTATCTGTGAAAAAAAGTGCATAATGTTTAAAATAATGTTTATAAACCAATTATAATTAATTAAGTTGCTTAAACGACTATAGACAAAACAGCATCATGTATGTATGCATAGTTTAATAATAACAAATACATTATAAAGCAATGACACTTACATTGTCATCGCATCTCGTGCGCGACTGATAAGGCTGCTTCCTTAACGCACACCTAAAATTCGAATGCAAAGTTTTTTTCGACAGCCCTAAAAGTATTGCTAATTAAGAAATAATTTACTTGGACAAGTAAATGTACTGAAAAATAATATCACTCAAGTAAGAGTGAAAAAGTACTCAGACTGTATGCTGAAAACTGATCAAGTTACTGCATTCCAAAGTACTTTAGTATTATTTTTCTATTTTTACCCAGAATGAGGCGATTTAAGCATTATGGATAATTAAACACACGAGCGAGACTCATAGAAGTATTAAACTTATGATGTTCCAGGAAATCCCTTATATGGACAAATGCATCAGATATCACAGCTGAGTAACGTTTTGACTGATGAAGACAATAAACACACAATTGCGATGATCTGTGTTTATATCTGTGTTTATCTGTGTTCTTAAACCCATTTTGGGTATTTTCATAAGAATGATTTATAACACATATATTTCTATAATGCGCATATTTATAATGCAGCGCTAGCCATTATCACAGTATAGAATTTTATAAAATAATACATTTTCGGTCTTATTCTGTGATAAGAAGAAACATGGAACCACAGAAGCGAGTTATTTCAAACACAACAGATGTTATATAGTTATTTTGGAGACAAACATGATATTAATTTCATAAATTGTCATGTTTGACACTATGCTAAGCAAACATACTAGCTATCCCTGTTGCCAGGAGTGACTGTTTTATAACTAATTTTGAAAAGTAAGTCCACGTAAGATAATGTGATTGTTTATAAGAAGGGCAAAAGCAAAGAAATGTAGTTGAGAGGTTTGATCAAAGATATGAGAAATTAAAACAGTGTGAAAAAAAAGGTGCCGGTAAAAAAAAAAATAATTATGTGGGGTATGGGTAAGGTTGGGCATTGTTTGAATTTGAATGATTCTGATTCTGGATTTTTATAAATTCCGATTCTTATCGATTCCTCATTTCAATTCCAATAAGAAAAAAAGAAAAGAAAAAAATACTTAGGCCATTCACATTTATTCTAAGTCTTATTGCAAAACATTTCATTGTTGCTGAATGCTATGAACGAAAATCAACAGGCTAAAGGACACTTACACAAGCATGTGTGTGCAGCAGAGAAAACAGCACTCCAGTCTTCTTGACTTGAAAGGTTTAAAATTACATTATAATGTAGTTTGTTGTAATAGCAACGGTGGACTCCAGGCACATTTTCAGTTGAACGAAAAAGAGCATTTTATTTAGCATGTTAACCCATGTGTCTTGGGAATTAAAAATCGATTCCAAGTCTGAAATAGGATACTTAAGTTCAGGAATCGGATACTTGTTATAAAATTAAAATTTCAATTCCTCTTATTGATTTCTTTCTGGAATCAATAACTTTAAACAATTCAAGTGCTGTTTTCTGTACAATACTGTACACACATCCAAAGCGCGCACAGAAGAAGTGATCTTAATGGGATTTTAAACTCGCTCGCTGTTTTCTGTATTGCACACAAATCCAAAGTGTGTGCACAAAAAAGTGAATGCGAGCTTTGCCATTCAATTGATTTCAATTTCTTTTCATCTATTATATAAATAACATAAAAAATGGTTTAAAATCACATTAAGATTACTTCTTCTGTGCGCGCCTTGGATGTGTGTACAGTATTGTACAGAAAACAGAGCTTGAATGGTTTAAAGTCACATAAAAATGCGCAGAAAGGAATCGATAAGAGGAATTGAAATTGTAATTTTATAACAAGTATCTGATTCCTGACCTTAAGTATCCTATTTCAGAATTGTAATCGATTTTTGATTCCCACTTGTATATATAAAGGTTGTCCTAAACATTTATATATATATATATATATATATATGTATGTATGTATGTATGTATGTATGTATGTATGTATGTGTGTGTGTGTATATATATTTATAATAGTGCTGTCAAACGATTAATTGCATCCAAAATAAAAGTTTTTGTTTATATAATATATGTGTGTGTACTGTGTATATTCGTTATGTATATATAAATACACACACATGCATGTATATATTTAAGAAAAATATGTTACATTTATATATTAAATATATTTATATATAATATAAATTATATTAATATAAATATATGCATGTAAATATTTTTAAAAGATATACTGTGTGTGTGTGTATTTATATATACATAAAAATATACACAGTACACACAAATATATTATCTAAACAAAAGCTTTTATTTTGGATTCGACTAATCGCGATTAATCATTTGACAGCACTAATTTATATATATATATTTTGTTTGTTTTTTCAGGTATACATTCATTCAGTGTAGTCTATGTATTTTTGTATCTTACATCCTCTTGATTATTTGAGCACGTATGATTTTCAGATAAAACTGGTCTCTCCTTCTCTGATATTTCTCCTCTGGTTGTGCTGCACAGCACTCTGCAATAAGAAGAATGCTTTTTTGAGTCACATCCACATACAGTAATTATCAGTTTTGCCACCAGAGGCCGTTATCACCACATTATGGACAACCATGGTTACACACATCATTTAACCTGTAATCTACAGTTCTTAAGAATCCATTTCTATACACAAGGCTTACGGAAATAATAAAAAAACTAACTGATCAGTTATACTCACTCAATGCAGAGCAAAATCAGAGCAAAATGTGTGTGTTTATGTTTGCTTGCATGTGCTTATTTTATGTTGATTTTCCAATACAGGTAAATGAACATCTGAGAGACATTTTGGCGCAAGAAAAAATAGTTAAAGATGCAAACGAAGCCTTCATTCTTCAAAAGGTGAGCATATTCTTTAATAATGCATTAATATTGTATCAACAGATCACATGCTAACATATGTCAAAGTTCTATAAATGATACAAATGATGCATTACAAAGCTCAGATGCAGCAGATCACAAGTATTGAGATATGCATCTAATTTTGTTACTTTTAATATACAGTGATATTTAAGCATTATAAATTTTGATGTGGTAGAAATTGAATTGTTTATAAAGACACCTACAGCTTATTCTTAATTTATGCTATATCAAACATCTATTAGCAAAATAATTGAAAAAATGCAATTAAAATCTTCAGTAGTACTCACAGCATATCTTATGTTCTTTGTACTTGAAGCACCATGCTAGATTTCAGCTTGTCTTTTCTGCTTTAAAGCAGTGTGTTGGATATGCCCATATGAGTGGCTGCACACACTATACACCCCACCCTCAGGCTTAGTCATTGTCAGAGCACAAACCTGTTTGTACAGGTTCTGAAATGTTCAGAATTGTTTTGTTGCCTTAGGCAGTCAGTATACAAAACAGTGCCTTGACACATTTGAATAAAGAGGCAGTCTTTTCCTGGTCCCTATGGTGTTACAACCTTACAATTTTCATCAAATTTGAGATATTCCTTAAGAGGATAGTTCACCCCAAAATTTTTATTCTGTCAAAATGTACATGTACTCACCCTCATGTTGTCCTAAACCTGTATGGCTTTCTTTCTGCTGTGATACATAAAAAAGAGATTGTTTTAAATGTATGTAGAAAATTTAGACATTCAAGATAACATCAGTTAGGTGAATTATTATTTTAAATAAGCTGCTAAGTATGACAGTCTTTCACTTTTGTTACTAGAAGATATGTTTGCATGAGTTGTGATGAGGAAACATGATCTTTTGATGAATAAATGATTTACCAGGTCCAAAAGGCTATTTGCTTTCATCAGTGTTACCAGGGTTGGGCTCCACTGAGAATGTGAAATGTAGGACGTTAGGAACCTATTGTTCATGTTTTCTTTGTCTTGGTGTTTTGTATTATTCTAGTTTTATTATGGGAACAAGCACCAAAGGTCAAATTCCATTTATTTCTATAGCGCTTTATACAATACAGATTTTGTCAAAGCAGGTTCATAGAGATAAGCGGCAAACAGCAGAATCAATTACAAAACTCAGCTATGGAGACTGTTCAGATTATACTGTAAAGCAGCCCTAAAAGACAATAGTTTCATTATTTAATTCAAGTCAGTTCAGATGAATATCTTTGTGAAGTTAATCATTCATGTTTTATTTGTCTTGGTGTTTTGTATTATTTTAATTTTATTATGGGCACAAGCACCAAAGGTCAAATTCCATTTATTTCTATAGCGCTTAATACAATACAAATCTTGTCAAAGCAGATTCATAGAGATAAGCGGCAAACAGCAGAATCAATTACAAAACTCAGCTATGGAGACTTTTCAGATTATGCTGTAAAGCAGCCCTAAAAGACAATAGTTTTATTATTTAATTCAAGTCAGTTCAGATAAATAACTTTATGAAGTTAATCAGTAGCTATAAGCAGTTCTACAAAAGGCAGCAATGTCATTATTCAGCTTGAGTCAGTTCACTGTTGAGTCAATTCAATAGCAATGTCGATATTGCAATATGTGATTCAGCTGTAAAGCAGCTCTAGAAAAGGCGGTATTGCTATCATCCAGCTTAATTAATTTCAAGTTTTGTTCTTATCCGATGATATCAGTCACTGCAGTGATATCGATAAATGACTAAAACTTAAGTGTCTGTCAGACCCCAACTAAGCAATCTAGAAGGTGACACCGAGGACCCCAAACTCCATCAGGTAACAGAAATGGAGAAAAAAAACTTTGAATAAACCAGGCTTAGTCTGGGTACCAGTTCTTCTCTGGCATAAATGAATTTAGCGTGAAAAAAAAGAGATTGCTTTAAATGTATGTAGAAAATTTAGACATTCAAGATAACATCAGTTAGGTGAATTATTATTTTAAATAAGCTGCCAAGTATGACAGTCTTTCACTTTTGTTACTAGAAGATATGTTTGCATGAGTTGTGATGAGGAAACATAATCTTTTGATGAATAAATGATTTACCAGGTCCAAAAGGCTATTTGCTTTCATCAGTGTTACCATGGTTGGGCTCCACTGAGAATGTGAAATGTAGGAAGTTAGGAAGTCATTAAATGTTAATTTGACTTTAATATATCCCAGTAATATTGAAAACAGATTTGTGAAATTGTCAGACATAGTTAAATATATTGCTTTCCATTTAAAATGAAGAGACTATTTTATTTGTCTCTTTTAATATACAATATGCTATAAAGAGACAAGTATTTTGGTGTGAATAACTCACTCCTATAACCTGACAACAGCTTGGAAACACCTGCAGCACTAGAATTATTCTGTTTTGTTTTCTACCATGTTGTCTTAAGTAATACAACTATTTGTTCTGTGTAGTATTTTTGCTTCACATTATTATTGTATTATAATTTATATTATATAATCAAAATCTATTTTTCAGCCTAAAATTGTAATGTTCGGCCTTATCGCAAGATGTTACAATTGATAAAATGGGGTCAGATTAGACTATGTGAGAGCATGCCATGGAGTGTTTAAAAAGATGAGACGTACGTCAGTTATAAAGTGAATAAATAAATTGTATTTACAATTTCCACATGGAACTTAAAACAACACAATAAAACTAGAAAACGTTAGGTTACTTGCGTAACCCCGGTTCTCTGAGAACAGAGCGAGGTATCTCACTATGGGAATGCCCCCAGGTGTCATAGACTATGGAAGCACCAATCACACCACCATCCAATGTGAGAGGCGCTGCAAGGAGATCGGCTTACCCTTACAATGAGTGGCCCATGAAACAAATAACTGATCATTCTTCCTGAACGATCATGTCCTGTTTACATAATAGCGTAATGCTCGTACGGGACACAAAGTGTGCAATTTCCTCTCCGAAGAAGAAGAGAAAGGAGGAGGGTAAAAAGCACGCAACTCCAAAGCAGAGCAGTTATAAGCTGAATCACTGACTTTGGGAATGAAAGCTGGGTTTGGCAGCAGCGTAACTTTGCTGTCACCCGAATTAAAACTCAGACATGCTTGATGAACCGACAAGGCATGTAACTCACCCACTCGCTTAGCTGAGGCTCAAGCAAGTAGTAAGACTGTTTTCAAAGATAGGAGCTTAATATGAACACTCTCCAGAGGTTCAAACGGGGCCTGAGTTAAAGCATTCAAGACCATGGACAAATTTCATGATGGGACCAGCTGCTTCATCACTGGTCTCAAACGCTTCACCCCTTTCATAAAACGGCATATAAGAGGGTGCCGACCCACTGAAACTCCTTCGAACCCTACATGGCAAGCGGAAATAGCAGCCAATTAAACTTTAATAGTAGAGAATGCTCTCCCATTGTTCAGTAAACACTGCAAAAAGCAGAGAACATCACTCACCGCGCACTGAAAAGGAATAACTCCTTTACGAGTGCACCAGTCCTCAAACACCTGCCATTTAAGATAATTTGCGTTTGCCTGCGAGGTGAAAAGATCTACAGCAGCCCTGGGAACAGGCCGCAGGGGAACAGTAGGACGGGATGCTCTTTTACGCGGCAGACAGATGTCAAACGCCTCTCCTTCCTTCTTCTGGAGGTCGCACCTCTGTCTCACTGCAGCAACAGCCGGGCCGAACAGCCCACTCGAGTCTACAGGAGCGTCAAAAAAATCAAATTTCTCCCTGTCCCCAATACTCAAAAGATTTAGCCACAGCAACCTCTCGCCTGCAACGGCGACAGCCATGGTATGGCCGCAGCTTTGCACCACACCACGTGAGGTGCATAGATTGAGATCAGTTATGCATATGCTTGCAGTTATGGAATTTCTTTTTTATAAAAGTTCCATTTTCCCAGGGAGGGAGGGGCTGGCCGATGAGAGAGTGGCCCACCTGTTCGGATGCAGGGGGTGAGCCACTGACTGCTCGACCGTGGGAGGGTTAGGCGGGAAGGGAGCCTTTTCCCATCATAGATATCCCCTTTAACTCCTAAATCCCCCAGAGTTACAGGCCAAACTATGCAAAGCTTAGCTGCCGCATGCTTACAAACCTCGACTAGGTCGCAATCCATCACTGTCGACGCTACATTGCCACTTTGCACTCTCACCGGCCTGGACACTTGAGCTGCAGACAGGAAAGCATCATCCTCATCATCATCTGGCTCATCTCAGAGGAGGCAAGCTAACATCTCCTCATCTTCCTCTATATATCCCTCAACCTCGTTTCGCAGCTGCTGGTCGAAAAGCGGTGTAAAGTCTGGGGGCTCCGAATCCATAATATCCCCCCACGAAGGAAGATCCCGCCGGGGAGAGGGTTGAGCCCCTTTTGCCGAAGGAGAGACAGCAGAGAGAACCAGATCATCTTTGGAAGATGCAGCCCCCCAAAGCCGCTTTTCTAGAATCCTGGCCGGCATTACACAACAGTGCGAACAACTTTCCGCATCCGCCAGCGCAGCCTGGGCATGCTTGACACGCATGCATGTGATACACATCGGATGCGAATCCCAGCCCGAGATCATGAATCCACACGCTGCCAGACATGAGCGCGACGGGGCCTCCTTCCCTTTCTCCACAGCGACCTTGGACACCGACATGGTGAGTCAGATATTCTAGTACTTAGCTCGCCTTAACGCGTTAGCTAGAACACACTGCTAATAGCGGCCGAAACTAAGAAGCTCAGTAATGAGCAGAGAATCCACAACAGATTCTTCCTCTTTTGACTGTACTGCATTCGGCAACATCAACCTTGACGGTACGTTTATGAACTGAAAGCGGCGCAGCCTAGGTGCTGAAGGAAAGTCTTCATGGGGAAGAGAACAAGAATGCCGTTTCGGGGGTCACAGCTGTATATATAGGGAGGGGGTGGGCTCCTTGTTACGAGCTGTGATTGGTCCGTCCTTCAGACAGATGTGTTGTAATTGGTGGTTCCATAGTCTATCATGCCTGGGGGCATTCCCATAGTGAGATACCGAGTGATTGTTTGAAAGAGAACCTAGGTTGTTAAAAGCGTCTTTCAGTTCCATACCATAAAACAGTCCTTAAGAATCCTAGCTTGCTGTAACTCCCAATGTGAATGTGAGAAGTGTCCACCGTTGTATATACAAAAGTCCACTAAAGTGATAATCCAAAGTGCTGGAAAGGTAAGTCTACAAAGGTAACTCCACTCTTCCAGTATGCTGGGGATCACCATATGGTCAGTTTGATTTGCAAACAAGCTTGTTGTTTGACATTCCCCTGTTGAAAAAACCAGCATATGCTGGTTTAATTATGTTTTGATGCTGGGATGCTGGTTTAAGCTCATGCTTAAGTTTAAGGTCATGTGCAAGCAAAGGACCAGCATAAACCAGCAAAAAGACCAGCATAAACC